TTAGATTTTCAATCCACCATTGGACTTTCCCAAAATCTTTTTTGTTCCATTTCCTCAGAATTTTACTTAGTTGTCCACATTTTCTTGGAACAATGAACTCAACTTGGTTGCCTTGCTTTTCAGTCCAAGTTTCCTTAATAACATTTGCACAGGTTTTATGAGTAAGTCACATTTCTTCAAACCTGAAAGGCTTTCTGATTTTAAAAGTTATTGGGTTGGTGTCTAGGCATATTGGAAGGTGATTTGAGCCATGGTTTGTAAGAACAACAATTTTTGCATCAGGGAAGTTTTCTTTCCACTCTAGATTACAAAGCCCTCTATCTAATTTTTCTTTTATATTTGCTTCTTTATCCCTTTTATTGTTCCAAGTATATTTCGGCCCTGAGTTTGGGATCTCTTCTAAACCCCAATCATGCATAATAGCTCTGTTTCTTCTAACTTCACCAACCCTAATTGTTTTTCCCCCTATTTTATCATCAAAGTTAAACAACATATTAAAATCTCCAATACAACACCAAGATCCCCTTATTCTATCAGCTAAATTATTTATTTTTTCAATGAATTGCATTCTTTTGCTCCTTTCAGGCTCTCCACATATGAAGGTATAGTTCCACTCTTTACCATTACTATCTTCAGAAATTTTGGTGTGAATTAGGTTTTTATCTACTGCTAAGACTTGGATATTCAAGCTCTCATCCCGGAAAAGAGCTAGGCCTCCTGCTAAACCTCTATCATCAACACCCCAACAATTCCAATTTTTTTCAGCAATTAAACTGCTTCGTACAATCTAATAGACTACATTTAGTTTCACAGAAAAAAATAATTTGGGCTTTATTCTTCCTTTGGGCCTCTTTTGCTGATCAAACTGTCAAGGGGGAACCCACACCCTGGCAGTTCCAGCAGAGGACTCTCATTTCCACAAAGGGAGTTGTTCTGGGTCAACTCCCACAAGCCCAAATAATTCCACTTTTGTTAATCCTTTAGAAACCAAGAATTTTTGACATTTTTGAAATTTTTTAATGTTCTTTTCTCTTATTTTTATTTTTTGATTTACTAACCAATGATGGAAAAAAAGTTTTTTATTTTCAGCTCCAAGAAAAGTAATTCTCCTATTCTCAGTTTTAACTTTTTTGCCATTTTTATTTTTGTTTTGATTTTGCAAGAATTTCTTTAAGTCTGATCTCCATACCTTACTTTTATTTCCTAAATTGGTTTTCCATATATTCATCTTATTATTGCATTCTCTTATCACAAACTGCTCTCATTTTTCTTTTTTCTTTATGCTCAACATATTTCTGCTTTCTCTTTTCATTCTAAGTTCATCTTTTTTCCCTTTTTTCTTTCTGCGTTTTTTCCATCAATTTTCTTTCTTTTGTTTGAAACCTACGTTTGCTTCCATATTTTTAGAGTTTTTTGCTGTACCAAAATTATCAAGAACATATGGCCACATATCTATAGATTGATCATTATGATAACAGAAAAATTGCACATAATCTTCTTTCTGGCTTCGGCATACCTATTCACAGTTTGTCATCCAGATCCAATTTGTTGTCTTTGGTGTTTGCTACTCAACGTCTCCTTTGAAGTAGCTGAGAATCTCCTCTTCTGTACTCTCCAGTCCATGCTCTTCATCCTTTTGCTCTCATTTCCTGCGTTTGGTTCTTCCCTCCTCTTCTTCCTCCATATTCATCTGTCTGCTCCTCTTTTCTCTACAAATTTCTGCGAACAAGGGAGAAACTAGGGCGTTTTCCCCTCTTTTCTTATTCGGGTTTGGATCCAGGTCATTCGGATCCTCCTAATTGCCCGTATCTGCCACGTCCCTCCATATACCTTCTTCTAGTACACATTGGTTGTCTTCTCTTCCTTCATAAGTTCCTCTATTCTCATACGAAACCTTTGCTTCCTCATTTGTCTGTTCTTCAAGATAGGAAACCTGCTTCCCTTTCTTGTCTACACAACCATCCTCCATCTTTTTCATATGAGGTAATGCATGTAAAGCTAGACACGTCTTACCTCTTCTGTTGATTTCAGGACTGATTTCTATCTTGTTACCTGCAAAATATCCTGGAAAGGAAAGACTTATTCGACTAGGACTACAGTTTCTTCTACTCCACACCTCCTCACTCCTCACATCTGCTCGAGCTTTCTTGCCGGAGACAGTAATACGTTGAGATTCCGGCGGACTTCCTTCATTATTGTTATCCCCTCTTCTTTGTCGAAATCTTCAGCGAACAATCTTCTTCTAACTAGAGTTTTAATCTTTTGCTAAAGTGCTGAGCCATCTTCCTTTGCATCTCTGGTTTGAGTTCTAGTTTCACCCTCAGTTGGCACTCCATTTTTAGGCATCTCATTTCTTGGCTTCATCAAGCTTGTCTCCCTGTTTTGTGCTTTTTCCTGTTGGGCTTGATTCTCAGTTTTCTTCTCCTTTTGTTCTTTCCTTTTCTTTTCAAGATTTAAGAACCGATCATCTTCCTGCCCAACTCCGGCTCTCAACCATGGTCCATAGCCAATGAAACCCTTAGATGCCTCCAAGCTTTGTTCTCCCAACTTTAAGGAGTGGGAATGGGATTCCGATTCTTGGGGGTGGATCGATTCCCTCAAATGGGGGATTGCCATTCCACCCAAAAGGGGAATCGGATTCTAATTTCACCCAACCAAACACCTGAATTATTCCGATTCCAATTCTAGATATTCTGAAATCATTCCAGTTCCTGTGAACCAAACAGGGCCTAAGAAAATTTGTTGAATAAATTTCACTAGTTCATGACCACAAACATTACATCCTTGTTGATAAAAAATAGCATGTAAGCCATCTGGGCCAAGTGCTTTTGTGGGCCCAATAGAGAATAAAGTGACGACCTCATCGGAAGTAGGCATGCTACAGATTGTTGCATTTTTATCAGCTTCAGTCATAATTGGTGGAAATAAAGTCTAATCGACTAAGAGAAAAGGCTATGTAACGATGTAAATATGGTTTCAAAGTGAGATAAAATCATTGTGACCATTGCATCATGATCGTCAACCCACTGGCTAGAGGAAGATTTCAGTTTTAAGATGAAAAAAATATAGGATTCTCATAGTCTGTTTGATTCAGACAAGAATGAAAATGGGAATTGAAATTAGCAGGAATGAGATGTCATTCCTAAGGGAGGGGCAGGGAATGGCCATTTCATCAGAAATGGGAATGTCCGATTCTGTCCAACCAAACAGTTGGACAGACCAATAACATCTAGATCAAATGCTCCATTAAGCTTCTTCCTTAGCAAGAAGAGTATCTAGGTGGTGGTTAAGATAAGATAGCTCATTTAAATCAGTAGGGCTGGAGAGGATTCAACAAATTTAATTTGCTCCACTACCACCTCAGAAATCTGTACATGTTGCTCCCAGTGCAGCAGTTTCTGTTTACATTGGTCACTCTTCATTAGAAAATTGCCATGTGAGTTAGTCCAAAAGGAGCGCATGGTACAGATTACCATATACATGGTACGCCCTCCTTTGAGATTCAGAGGTTGATAATAATATGGGTCTGTGTGATCACTACCTATAATGGGTAAATGAAGGACCTTAGCATGAGGGAACAGTTGGGCACCAGTTTGGGTTTGCTAGAACCCTATCTAAACGATCCAGAATAAGGTTTGAATTAAATCTTTTATTGAAACCATGTATATGCAGTCCTGCATAACCCAAATCCATCAAATTATTGCTCCCAGTACTAGGGTTTCCTTATCTTTCCTTTCTTTGTCCCCAACTTTTCCTTTATATTCAAACCAAACACAGCCTAAAAGCCTCCCAACTTTTCACCATCAACAGAGATAGAGTTAAAATTGCCCAGGACACAAGAGGGTGTAGTAGAATGTGCCTGGTCAGATCTCTGAACGTTGGGCCAACCCTCCTCCCCAAAGATGGTACATGGTAGCAGCAATTAAGTTTTGCAGAAGAGAAGAATAGGAATATCTGCACACTAGTGAGGAGTAAGAATATTCACCAAAGGAAGAGCTAGGGTGTTGGCCAGAGCCAAACTTTTAATATTGCAGAGAAACGACCAGACCGAGTGCTAGAGGCACATTTATGTCACATTGAACTGATTCTTTGGTGCGACAATATAGATCTAGCACCAATCCTATTTATTATGATGTACGTATCAAGCATATTGATACGTTTGTACTCGGATAGGCACAAAACTTATTTGAAGTGCGTCATCTGGCCCATCATTTAAAGGGCCAATATTCAATTTATGGCCCACCGGTTTGTTTTCGGATTTGTTTTATTAATTATTTTTTATAAAAAATATATATATGATAGAAATAATTGAAAAGATATTTATATTTTTTATTTTTATTTTAATAATTTATTACTTTTTTTCAAGAAATTTAAATCTTAATAATGTCGGATCGAATTCAGATATACTCTCACTCAAATCTGATTTGATCCGTTTGCTTCCCCTAAGTTGAGTGGGCATAGACCAGGGCAATTGGTCAAAACAATCGTGAGTCGAGATAATTTACAATGGGCCCTGGCTGGGCATAGGCCCAGTTTCAACCAAAGGACCATAACCCTAAGCTCCCAGACACTGAAATTGGGTCGGGTTCGAACAGGCTAAACGACAAACCAGTTGGCACTGTTCCATTGGACCTCACAAGTCACAAGCTAGAGGCCATAGGCCCAGTTTCGACCAAAGGACCATAACCCTAAGCTCCCAGACACTGAAATTGGGTCGGGTTCGAACAGGCTAAACGACAAACCAGTTGGCACTGTTCCATTGGACCTCACAAGTCACAAGCTAGAGGCCATGGCACCAAAACCTAAATATAGTGATAAAAGTAAGAACCACTGAACCAGAAACGAACTGGACTGGACTGTTCCGCACTCGTTCCCACTTTGGCACTTTCCCACCAAAGCCAGATGTCTTTCACCACCCATCACCTTTCACAGACGCGGCACGCCACTCCTGCTGCAGTTCTATGTGGCGACACCAAACCACACATTCCTATAAGAATTGAGATTCTGAGACAACCCACTTAACCCAATACACTGTCTTCTCTTCCATATTGCTTTCTCTCTCTATTACTGAGCTATATCTCTCAGTCATGGCGGCACCGGCGACGTACAGACCTTCAGCCTTGCTGTTGGCGTTGTTGTTTGTGGGTTTGTGTTGTTCTTCGACGGTAGTTGTTGGGTTCGGAAGAAAGGTCGGAGGAAGAACTGAAATCGAAGATGTGAAGGACAACGAGGAGGTTCAAGAACTAGGAAGGTTTTCGGTTGAGGAATTTAACAGAAGCCAGCGCGAAGAAGAGCGAAGCAGGGGCAATGTCTATCTGGTGTTCTCGGAGGTTGTGAGAGCAGAGAGACAAGTGGTGTCAGGGATCAAGTACTACTTGAACGTCGAGGCTTTAGAAGAGGGAGAGGCGAAGAAGTTTGATGCTGTTGTTGTGGTGAAGCCATGGCTTGAGTCTAAGCAACTCCTTACCTTCATTCCCTGTACCAATTAGCGTTAGTCGATTGGTTACAGTCTAAACAGATATCTATCTATATGTATTATGGACGTGATTATGTTGGTTTGTGTTCTACTCTGTTGATCTGTGTTTTGTCATTTGCTTTTCTTTTCTGAAAATCTAAATCTCTGAGGTTCATGCGGGAGTAATGGAGATGGGTTTTACCGTTTAAACTTAATTCTGAGTTCGTCATATATATGCATTAATCGTAGTCGTGGCTGGTGAGTGTTGATCGATTTACATTTCCGTTTCCGAGTTCAAAACAAAAGATTAACCTGTGAATTCATACGCTATAAAAAATCCTCAGTCTCTGATGAGGTCATGAGGTGAGACCCATACAAACATTTGCCATTTCCCATAGATATTTTAGAAGGATTTCGTGTAAGCAAAATACGCTCGAACCGGGTGGTGGGATACATGCATTGCTACCACGTGGAAGGCAAGAGAGAAGGGGCACGTCCGGTCGAAATTCTCTAACTGGTAAGAGGTAAGGCTGTGTTTGGATCTCATTTAATTACGGAATTAATGAATTCCGTTACAATCATTCTTCCGTTAAGGGGCTGTTTGATAACAGCTAAAGTGACTGAAGGCAAATTAATTTGAATTAATTAAGGGGCTGTTTGATAACTGGTAAAGTGACTGAACTGAATTAAAGGGTTGTTAGATAACGGTAAAATACGAGCTTTATTAAGAAGAAGAAGAAGAATAGATGAAGGAGCTTTATGACATTCAATCAAACGGTGCTCATCCAAGTCCAATTAAACGTTGCTCATCTAATTCCAATTGGGTAATGTCTATTGTTATTTAAAGTATTGTACCTTTTATCAATACCTTTTTTTTTTTTTCAAAATGCTAACCGAGTAAAGTATTGTACCTTTTCCCCAATGCTAATAGAAAGAATCTGTACCAAAGAAAATTGACTAATTTCTATTGTTATTTTATGTATTGTACCTTTTATCAATACCTTTTCTTTCAAAATGCTAACCGAGTAAAGTATTTGTACCTTTTCTCCAATGCTAATAGAAAGAAGGGATATAACCCCCTATAAACCGTGGATTGGCATCGATCCATGGTCTGGGATGAGAAAACTCRATTCACATTTTAAATAGAACTAGTAGAATGCCCGTATTGAACATTTAGAAATGCTAAAGGTTGACCAAGCACATGTTTGGAAGAGCTTTTTTGGTAAACTAAACATAGAGGTATGAAGGATGGTTTGGTCTCCGAGTCATTTTTAAAAAACATGGTACGAAGTTTTGAATCATTATCTTTTCAGAAAAGGGGAAGAAAGGGACCCCCTATAATCCTTGAACTATCCTACCGTAGTCAATACTATGCTTCTTTTGACTGAACCATAAGACTTGTGTTGGGGAACGATTCCATGTATTTATTTATTGGAAAATCTTTTCATTCCTAGATTTTCATATTATCCACAAAGTGTGAGGTTTCTTTTGTCGAGAATTTTTAACAAATGATTTACCCATTGTATGAAGTCCTTTTAAGCACTTGGATTAATATCCAGATATGTCTAAATATTTCTACTGAGATCATAGTTTGTAAATAAATGCTTTAAATCCTCAGATTCCTAATTACATATTTGACAAACAGGGTTTTTGATTGATAAAGTCAAGCGGATGTTGAAAGTTTGCCTTGAATTAGCAACCACATAAAATATGTTAAATCCTATAAGAATAAATTCGATAAGGAAAATAGTCATGTTGGCATATTTACGAGTGAAGAGAACTTCATAGGTTGATTTAACTGTTACATTTCCATCCTTAGTCGACCGGCCTCCAAACCCACTTGTCTTATCCTATGACACTTTCCTGATCTGGTTTCTTAAGAGGGATTGCTCTAATCATATGAACAATTCAATTCTAATGGGTAGAAGAGATTCAACTTCAATGAGATTCCATATTTCATTATCAATTCACTACATGATTGGTTTATACGATCCTATGGTTAGGAAATATTAACAATTGATAAAAATTGTAAACTAAAATATAAAATTTTCTTAAATTCCAAAAAAAAAAAAGAAAAGCACTACCCGTCTCAAGTAAGGTGCACCAAGGTTCAGGTGTGCCACCAGGGGGAAAGCCACCCCCTCTCTATAATTTAATGAAATGTTAAAAGTGGATTTATCTTGAGAGTTAATGATTAATCGTGGAAATTGAGGCGAACCTCTAGTGTCATATGGGGTTTGATTGCCATCCAAAATATGGAGATGGTGATTTCAATGAGACCTGAATAGACAAATAAAATTGTGGGTGTACCATCATCAAGCATCCTCCACTTGCCAAACAAAAAAAACTCAGTTGTTAAGTATTATAAAAAAAACTCAGTTGTTAAGTATTATAAAAAACTCAGTAGTTCAATGAAATGAGGCTTTGAATGTAAAACAAAGGTTAGCTATTACTATCACAAAAAAAACTCAGTTGTTAAGTATTATAAAAAAAAGGTTTGTTATTACAACAATCAATTCAAATAGAGATGCACAAGAAAAATAGCTTTTAAAACCTTCAGCATTGGTTTCTTGGGTTTACCAAATCAATAGTCCCAAGAGGTGAAGAGTGAAAGGGGAACTTGCCAAACAAAAAATACAACAGTCCTCCTCATCACCATTTCTAAGTTCCAATACATCTATTTGGTTCTACATGTCTATTATCTTTAAAAGTAAACCTGTAAAAATAACTTTTTATATTATTAGAAAAAGGAAGAAAATAAATGATGGGGACCTTTTCTATGTGTTGTGAAAGAAGAAGATACATATCTCAAAATGTTTCTCCTGTAGGGTCGATAGAGACCTCTTAAGCTTAATAAACCTACAAAACAAAGAGAAGAGTGATAGGGTTTTTTGTGTATAGTCAGAAATGGCTTCTTGTGCTTATTGAACCAAATAGTTGAATGAGGTTACAAAATGAGAACACTTGTGCACTTGCATTCATTTTATAAAAACAGGTGTAAAAAAGAAACTGACCCTTTTTGCCTCCTGTGCAACCACATACGGAAGAATTGTCATAGGTTGGAATAAAAAAGTGAAGGGATATAATTGGAACTAAAAAGGAGTAATTCTAATTTTTATATATGGTTTGTTAATCAATAGAAATAAAATAAAATATGAGAATGGGACAAACAAGCATTTGCAGGGGTAATATTGGAAAATCAAAATAAGGGTGTTCGACCATTCTACTTGTCTCATTCTCATTTTTATATATGGGTAATAGATTTAAGTTGATCAGGTTAATAAATTTTATTAATTTATATTAAATTTTTATTTTTCAATGGAAATTAAGTTCATTAATAAAAATTAATTATTATTAGATAATTTTGTATTAGTTTTATATTAATTTTAAATGGATATTAGTTTATAATTTATCTTATTAATTTTTATTAATTTATTTGTTTTTTATTATATTAATACAAATATTTTTATCGACAATAATTATTTTTATCTTGTTTAAGTAATTTAAAATTATTTTTACTATGATTAATTAGTTTTTATTATTTCAAATAGAATATAAATAGATTATACTTTTTAAAATGTTTTATTTAATGTTTTCAATTGTCATTGACTCAGATGGTTAAATCATTCAAACCATCACTCAGCCCTATTTATAATTCTTGGTTTCCTAAAACACACTATTTTGTCAAAATCCATTCAACCTAGGTAGTTGATCCATTGACCCTTTTGATCTAGTCATCGGGTTATGGGTTACAATATATAATATATTGAAAACTTTTAGAGGACTTAACTTTGTGCTTTGTTGTCTTATTGGGGAACTTTTTCATTTTGGGTAACTTTTCACAATCTTTGCAACCTCACTATACAAAAAAAAAACCTTATTTTATTATCTCAAATTTCAATTTCTAACACTTTCATTTATAAAAAATTAAAAACTTAAATAAAAAGTACAAATGGAACCTAAAATAATATAAACACACATAAAAGAAATGTACTTATATTATATCATATTATACATATATAGCTGGATGATGTGTCATGGATTGATTTAACTAACCCAAATAGTGTAACCGTTGGCCTATGACCTAGAGGAAAAAGTTATTCGCCTCCAAGTCAATTTTTAAAACACTAGTTTTATTTGTTGAGTGAATGGATATAGATATAGATGAAGTTAATGAATTTAGGCAATTTAATGGAGTAATAAAGATGAGAGAGTTAGTGGCATAATTAATGAGAAGAGATAATTAGGAGTTAATGAGAAAGAAGAGACGGAGTTAATAGTGATGTGATGAGAGAGATAAAAGTCTTAAACCTCATTGGCCACATGAATTATTTTGTAAATTTAAAATGAGAAAAATTCAAAGAAAAGAAAAAAAAGATAAGTACTTTTCAAAAACAACCAGAAACAAGATAAATACTTCCCCACAATAACCAAAAAACATGAAAGTGCCAGCTTGGCACATTCCATTTTAATATATAGACTAGCAGAGGGGGCCCGTGCTCAACACGGGCCAATAAAACCTTAAAGATGCAAAGCTATAGGTAAAAGTATTCAACTTGTCTATTATATTTTTTACAATTTCATTCAGTTGGAAATTTTATTGCTCCATCTGCTGAAAACAAAATTAAGTGATTAGTTGTCTAAATTCACCCATGTGAACAATAGGTTTTATAGTAAATTACATATTGAGAGAGTTGAGTTTAAAAACAATAGTTTGATGGAATAGCACCCAATTTTCAATAAAGTTAGACTGTTATATCAATAATTAACAAAAAATATCAAAACATTTTGGAAGCGAACAAGTTATGGACTCTGCTTTAAAGGCTGATTGCTTTCTCATATGAAGACCTTTCTCTTTCGAGCTGAAAATACGAAAAATGAAGAATGAAGATGCTACTTATTTAATTAGCATGATGTCGAAACATGAGAAATTTGAAATGAATGTCTTTACCTTTTGAAGATTAGGTGCTTGTTTGGATGTACACGAAATGCCAAGGATTTCCACAGTTAAGGCAGCCGGATTTATCACTACTCCTATGGTTGAGTTCCAACCTTATCAACTCACCTTGAACCCACCACCCCAATCAGAGAATACACAACACAAACCTGAAATGACTAAAGGCCCATTTCAGGCCCACTCAAAGTAGAAAAATATTACAAATTAGGGCCCACCAAAGTCAAAGTCAACTCTATATTCAATTAAACAATATAAACT